TTTCTTTATGGTGTCTTGTGTGTTTGGGATTCGCTTGGGTGAGAGGGAATAGAACAATTGTTTCGTTCTGTCTGTTCTTTATGGTGTGTCGTTGTGTCTTTGGGATCGTCTTGGGTGAGAGGGATCAGACAATCTTGTGTTGACTGTCTGTTCTTATTGGTGTCTTTGTGGCTTGGGATTCGCCCCTGGGTGAGAGGGATTAGGCATCTTGTTGTTTCTGTCCTGTCTTATTGGTTGTCTCCGTGTTTTGGGATTCGTCTTGGTGAAGGGATTAGAACCAATCTTGGTGTGTCTGTTCTGTTCTTTATATGGTGTGTAATTTGGGTCTCTGGCGATTCGTCTGGGGTGAGAGGAATAGACAATCCTTGTGTTGTCTGTCTGTTCTATAATTGGTGTGTCTTTGTGTCTCTGGGATTCGTCTTGGGTGAGAGGGATTAGACAATCTTGTGTTGTCTGTCTGTTCTTTATTGTGTGTCTTTGTGCTCTGGATTCGTCTTGGGTGAGAGGGATTAGACAATCTTGTGGAGATTAAATTTGCTGATAAGAAAGATTCTGCATGAAGTAAGGTAGAATAAACATTGTAATGAAGAATTTTGATGATATGTTGTCAATAACGATGATAACAAATTTACTATACCAAGATGGTTACACTTCTAATAATTACAATTGTCATCAATTAACCTACCATCATCATTAACCTTCCTTCCATACCTTTTTTAGTTCAACGTTGAATAATAACCCAGCTTAGTGATCCCTGAACTATCCTATGAGAGGCAAATTCTCTTAAAGATCCCCCCCCACCAATCGCATTAATTACCAGGTACACTTGTTCCCCATCTTTGATATTGGAGGAGTGACTGCTGTATTTGTGGTCTTGTGTTCTGTGTACCGCGTCTGTGGTTCCTTTGGTAAGGGGAAGATAAAGAGAGAGAGAGAGAGAGGGGAAGGAAGGAGAGGGAAAAGAAGGTAGGGGAAGAGAAGAGGGAGACGAGAGGAAAGGAGGAGGGGGAGAGAGAAGTGGGAGGAGGGAGAGAAGAGAGTAGGGAGAGAGAGAGGGGAGGAGAGGGAGAAGAAGGGGGAGAAGAGAGAGGAAGAGGGGAGAGATGAGAGGGAGGAAAGGATAGGGAGAAGAGTAAGGGGAGAGAGAAGTGGGGAGGAGGAGAAGAAGGGAGGAGGAGAGGAAAGAGAGGGGAGGATAAGAAGGAAAAGAGAGAGAGGAAGAGAGAGAGAGGGAGGAGGGAGAGAGAGAGAGGAGGATAGGAGGGAGAAAGGAAGAGAGGGAGGGAGAGAGAAGGGGAGGGAGGAGAGGGAAAGAGAGGGGAGAGAAGAGAGGAGGAGGATGCAAGGGGATAGTCGGGAGAGAAGGGAGGAAGTGAGTGGAAGAAAGAGAGAGAGAGGAAGCAAAGGGAAGTATAAAAAGGGAGTAGGGGAGAGAACTATAGAAAAAACAGACATATCATACAGAAGAAAGAAAAGAAGAATGAAAGAGACAAGAGAAGAAGAAAAGAGAGAGAAGAGCAGACAGGCAGAAGAGAAAAGAAGAGAAGAAGGAAAAATAAAAAAACGAAACGAAGAAAACACACCCTGAATTCTTCCCTCTCACTT